CGGGAGGGTGGCTGTGCGGCCGCGCTGTCTGGTATCCCGGTGAGAGCGCTGCTCCCAAGCACTCCCTCCTCGTCCTGTTTTACCCCATCGGGATGCTTATCTGTAAAAGTCAAGATGATTTCGAAACCACCTTAAATGGACTTGAGAGTCCCAGTCGGATGATGGTGCCTAAACTTGCAGTAACACTTTTAGAGCAGCCCCAGAAATGCTGAGAAATTTAGCCCTTCACACTTGGCTTCCAGCTGCGCTGGAACAACACTGCCCTGCTCTTCACGCTTTGCCTGCGGCTTCCAATTTGGGATGCTGTGACATGGGGCGAAAGGGTTGAGCTATCCAGGGGAGGGTTTGGCAGAGGAGGGTTGCAAACTGTGAGAAAAGGAAAAGGTTAAATGGAAGTGAAAGCCACAGAAATTCAAAGCCAACATTCACTGGCTTGTTTTGGTTCGAAATGAAAACGAGCAGTGACTTTCCTGTGAGCTGCATGTAGTGATTTGCACTTGCAGCATTTCCAACCAGGAGCTTGACTCTTTTCCAAGCTTTTGCTTAGGTATGGCGCTCGAGGAAGAAACTCTTCTGCTGTGGAGCCTCTAGTAGAAATCTTGACTTCTGAGAGTGGGTTTTGCTGGGAGGCAGAGACGAGTGGGACGTAGCATGCAAGCAGTTTGCTGCACGTCTCAAGGACAATATCGCAGCGCCAGTGCCGTTTTGGTGGAGGAGTGTTTTCATAAACACAGTATGTGTAGGGTCACAACCTCCACCTCCTCCTTCTCTTTCTTCCCATAACTGAGGCCAAGTATGTCTTGCAAAAAAATGTTTCTGAAAGTCCCAAGGAAAGCATGAAAGGCCGAGTAAGGATGGGGTTATGCACTTTGATGTTGCCCATTACTTGCCCTGTGTGGCTTTTCACAAACCTTGTGCAAAACATCAAGCTTACATATTAGCCAGAAACATTGTGGTAGAGTGTTAACTCCTGGAGGGAAGGAGCTTCAGCCCTCAGGCTAATGTGGGATGAGACAAGAACAGCAGAAGCCTCTTGGAAGGAGCCTTTTCTGCCTGGCAGATTCAAGAGGTGGTCATAGCAGTCCAAAAAATGCGTGCTGCTTCTTGGTCCTGCCAACCCAGACCAAGTGAGCGGATGTGTTTGAAAGATGTCTGAGGTCATGCTTCACATGTGTACTTGAGAAGAGAACTGCTTTCTCACTTGTCTTGCCCAAAGTCACCTAGAAGTCTATGGTAAAACAGGTATTGATACTCACATTGTAAGCTAATGCCCCAACCCTTGGCTGCATTTCCCTGCATCTGCCCCAGGCTGGATGCTGGCTTGGCCTGGTGGGGCTTTGACCCAGACTATGGAGACCGAGTTTGATGAGGTCAATGCAAACACAAGCCACTCAGCAGGATGGTGGAAGGCCACTGACCTGCCAGCCTCAAACAGCTCCCACAAGACTTTCTCTGTCCTCTGGTTGTCACAGTGTGGGACAGCCACTTATGCACAAACTGCATCCCTTCCTTGGAGAAGGTCCCTTCAGGTGTGTGGATGTGCAGCAAGACACCTTGGCAGGCTGTTTACTTGTTAAGAACTTTGCTAGAGCACGTGGTGCCAAGCCACTGGCAAAATGTCCCCTCCTCTCTCACTCTGGGGAGCTGCTCTTCTTTTGGCTCCTGCTGCTGGGAGAACTCAGGGAAGGGAGCAGGAGGGATGTGGGCTGCTCAGCAACGGTGTCGTAACTGACTCTTCTGAGACTTCCCTCGGCTGTGTGAACCTTCCTTGTGCTATGGACCTTCTGGTGATATGCATCGCTCTGTGGCTTGCAGCTAAGGTAGGGACTCAGCCCACACACGGTAGACATCTGGAAGTATTTCTGTAGCCCTCAGGGCCTCCTGGCAGTTGGGTGGGGAGGAGAGTTGCAATCTCCATGCTGATTTTGAATCAGTGGCAGGAGAGGATATCCATTCCATCAGCCCCGCAGGGTAGAGTCTGTCAGTATCTTTATGGATAGGAGACAGCACTTTTCTGAGTTTCTAAAAGAACCTAGATGCTGTGAGAGTCAAAGAGTGGAAGGATTTTGCCATTTCCCACCACAAACAGATGTGATCTCCTGAAAGGCACTGTAGGGTGGGATCCTGCACAGGAAGACTACAAACAGACAGGATCCTGCCTGCATCAGTCATAGTTGTGTCCGGAACTTCCGTGTCAGCAAGTCATTTGTGTGAGAGCCTTTGCACAGAAGTCCTTGGGGGACAGGGGACTTGGCCTTCCTGCTCATGGCACATGGGCTCTGAGGTGTCTGCATGTCTGTGCTGGAGTATCGAGATCACATCCTTTGGGTCGAAGAGTGAGCAGCCTTTCAAATCTGAGAAGAGATCCAGAAAAACATATCTCCAGCAGTGGGTCCTAACTGTGTTTGCTCTTTTTTTTTTTTTTTTTTTTTTTTTTGCAAGTGGATCTGGACAGGGAGGGCTTGCTTTGCACATTATGTTTGAAAGCTGGTGCTTGGGAGGAGGAAATGCAGAGCTGTAGCAGGCATTGGCCTTTGCTGTTGTCAGCAGGAAGGACAGCAGCTGAAGATGGGACATCCAGGTGAAGATGGGACATCCAGCAGAAGAAGGGAATGTGTCTGGGAACAGCTTATTTGTAGATGCTCCTCCTCGCCCACCCTGGCACTGCAGCATGCTGGGGGTGGCAGGTCAGGAGACAGGACAGGGACAGATGCGAATTGGGAAAATGCTGTCAATTTATCCCTTTCTTGATTCCTGACAATATTTGCTTAAACCTTACCTCCCAGGCAAGGTGGGAATGAGGTTCACCACAGCCGCTTCCTCTCCTTCTGCCTTGAAATATGTGCCTGAGGCAGGGATTGGCCACAAGCAATTAAAAGACGGGCTCTTATTCCTTGGTTAATTGGGGTTGCATTTCCTACCCTCTCTCTCACCTTGTCTCCCTCTCTGTCCCATCAGGTATTCAAAGGGTCTGAAGGAGGTGTACCTGCCGGGAGGGGCAATCCTACTGATTTCTCATAGGCCACACCATGTGGGCATGAGTAAAGCCGCCTGGAAAAAAAGCACTAAGCTACATAAGGCTTAACATGCAAAATACTCCTTGAGACACATGTCTTCTTCCATCTTAGATATATTTCCAAGGAAGTAAAAGTTCATTAGTATTATATTTGACAAAGCTGACTGAATGCATGTCCAGTTGAGCTTTCCATATTCATCACGGTGCTTATCGTGGGGTTTTCTGTGCAACGCTCAGCATTTTTTGTTTGCTAAGAGGTACTGCCTACTGACTGGGGAAAACTTGGATGTTTCTTTGTTAAATAGCAAAAGAAAAGAGCCAGTTCTTGGCCCTACATATTTCGCCTTGACCTTGTCCTTGGGATTCTCTCTTTACTGCCTGTTTCCCAGACCTCTTGGATCTGATGCCTGTGCTCTTTGTACAAAAATAGTGAAGCCATGCAGAAAAAGGTATTTCCGTTGCAGCCAAAACTTCCTGCTGGAGGGCAAAGGAAGGCGCAGTTGAGAAGAATTTGAGAGGATGGAAATAACCCTTGTTATACCTGCACTTGGCAGGTTTGGGGATCCAGCCAGTCTTTCCTGGAGTGGGCAGGACCATTGGGAACAACTGGAAAAAGGCACCTTGATTTCCAACTACTTGAGGCTGCCTGCCTGCTGTGGGTGCTGCCCCAGCAGGGCATGGCAAAGCTGCCTGAGTTTTCTCGGAGGGAGCAGGAGGGGCTCAGTCCTGACTGGCCTTGTGCTGTGCCCTCACACTTGCACACATCTGGCTCTGAGTTTGCCCCACACCCTGCCCAGGAGCCACTCGCATCCTGTCTCTACCATTGTGCCCCAAACAGCCTCCTTGTAGCTAATGCCAGTGCTGAGGCCATGCAGGAGGTGGATGCTGTGAAGTTTTCTGGCTGCTTTCCAGCACTGCCTTTAAATGGATTACCCCATTGCTCTCTGCCTGTGAATATGCATAGCTACACTCAGGTCTGCTGGCAGCCCTTGCAGGCAGGGCAGGCCTGGGCACAAATCAGAAGCTGCTGGTGGGGCAGGTACCTCCTGTGGCTCCCTCGGCAGGAGGGAAGGCTGCCATAGCTTTCCTTCTGCCACTGCTGTCACCTGGCTGTGCACA